ATTGTTATAGGTGCCTAAAGTGATTTTATAATATTATTATTGATTTTTAAGGTATATATATTAATTTCTATTAATCTATAAAATATTTTACTAATACTTTATTGTATCTAATACGATCATGCATGTTATAGAATTGCATTAGCACCAAGCCAACACTTGTCTTCTTAATACCCAATGTAACCATACATAATGTGCGAGGTTGTATCTAAAAAAAAAAAAAAAAAAAAAAAAAAAAAAAAAAAAAAACATGATAACAAACGGCGACTTTAAAAAATCAAATTACTTTTACATTAACTCAAAGCAAAACCAAAATGCCTAATTTAATTTCAATTTGACTTCTCCTTTACTATAATCATATAGGTTATTATATAATGGCTCTATTTGGTAGGACTTATTTTAGTAAATAAATAATAATAATAAGGATTTAGATTTTGGTTTGACTTTCAAACTAAATGGAGCTCTCCAATGTGAGTGCTAAAATCCACAGTGAACTGTACACAGACATCATAATAATAAAATAAAATAATTATTTTTTCCAGAAATAGTGAATTTCCAATTGTTAATGACCTGTGATCCAGCTGTATATGTTCTTGTACAGAACCGTACATATATACGTATAAAATACCATTAATATACGCTGCTTCTGAATTCTTAATTAAATTTTGTCCAAATCGGCGGATTACAGCTCTCTAACACCGTGTGTGTACTAACCTTATCTTTTTTTTTAATCATAAAATTATGCAATCTAAGTTGTGGCTCTCTCGCAGCCACAGCTACGGCGCGTGAGGAGCACGCCCCACCGATTGTGACGGTGACAGGTCAAATTGGTACGTAAGCTGGTCAATCAAATGGTTCCGGCGTGATTATGACCATTGATTTAGGGTTGGCATCTCTCACATCATCACCGGATTGGCTAATGGCTATTCTTGGAACTAATTGATTGGTGTTTTAGTATTTTAGGTGTTTTAAGATTATTTGGGATATATTATCAACTTTTTAATTTAATTTAGATTATTGTTTTCGAGAGTCTTTTATATGGTCTAATGAAATGAAATTGCATTTACGATGCAAGTGTTTTTTGATATCGTGTTTTTGTGTTAGGTGATTGAGAATAACGACTTACTGAAAAACGGTCTCTCTTGACAAGGCTTAGCAATACGCTAATACCAAGTAGAACCGGAGTTTATGGTGAGCTTCGCTAAAACTCATCACTCGTGCTCGCCTCAACGAGATAGTTTTTTAATTTATTTTTTCTTGACCTTTGTCACTATATATTTTACAACGTAACCGTTATTTTGTTTTCTACTAAAAGATATTAAGTTTTCATACTTTATTGACTTGTATCTAGCTTGTACTATGTAAGCGACTTGTAATTTAGTGGGTTTATAAATACCCCCACCAACTCATTTTTAATGGAATTAATGATTGAATGATGTATTAAATGTAAGGAATACTTGGTCGCTCTTTCTTCTTATTAAAATTCAAGGTTTAAAAAAATTCGCGAATTCCATTACTTATGACTGCTCTATTACTTATGGCATTTTGAATTCTACTCCTTAGGTTATTACAACAGGTCTTGTAAAGGTTTAGAAGTAGTAAAAACCCATTTATTTGAGTTGGAAAGTTTTGGAACCTAAACTCAACTAGCGGTGTTAAATACCATGGTTAGTTTTGTGGTGGCCACATCACTTTCATTCATGACATTCAAATGTATAATGACAAAGCATCAAGTCTCAAGTTCAAACATTTATTCATCATGTATATGTACAAATTTTGACGACACAAATATCAAATTTCAAATTCAAGCCTTCATTTATATCACATAAGTGATTGTGATGAAGTATAAGATCTCAAGCCCAAGTTATATTCATAGCATTAAAGTCAAAAATTGTGACTTTAAAGTCACCACTCATGATGTTAGAGTAAAACTAAATTAAATTATATCTATAACAAACAATATAATGTTTAGTTAGTATTATACTCAAATCAAATGTTACATTTAAAGACTCTAGGCTCTACCTAGCATTCTTTGTACTCAAATATTCAACTTATAAGACTTTTATCAAAGTCATTTTGAAATTGCATTTTTATAGTCTACCAAGGGTGGTTGACCATTGGGACGGAGGATTAGTCTTTTGGCTATCGGCTAGAGGGATACCTTTAGGCAACCAAAAAAATAAAAAAATAATGTGTTTGGAAATCTGAAAAATGATTTATGGAAATCATTTTCTGAGTTTCCCGTGTTTGGCAAGGTAAAAAAAATTTAAAGTTAATGTAAATTGATTTTCGGTCAAAGGAAAAATAAAGTCAAATTTCTGGAAAATGACTTTTTTTTTTTAAGTCATTTTTCAGGGTTTAACTGCAACCTTCTCCATCTCTTCCGGTGGTTTTCGTTGAGAACCAAAAATCTAGTTCCTGACAAAAATCAGTTAATCTGGTTTGATTTTCGTCGGAAACTAGTTAATTTGGTTTCCATTGGAAACCAGTTAATTTGGTTTCCAACAGAAACCAGATTAATTGGTTTCAGAAGCCGAAAACTATATTATCTGGTTTCTGGCTTCTGAAACCATTTTTGTAATATATGAAACTATTGTTCATTTTTTTTAATTTTTTTTTATAAATAACACTGATTTTTTTAATACAATTCTGCTCATTTTCTTGAAAATGAACCAAACACACTAAGATAGTTTTTTGAAATGCAACCAAACAGTGAAAAGGAAAATATTTTCTAAAAAATGACTCATTTTCTAGAAAAAAATATTTTCTAGAAGTTATTTTCCGCGTTCCAAACACACCCTTAAGGGGGTATTTGGTTGGAAGTAAGGAATTAGGGGAAAAAAGGAATTGTAATTCGGTGGGGAAAGAATAAGGTGAGAATAAAGTAGGAATTTAAATTACAGTGTTTGGTATGCAGTAATAAGACATGGAATTGAAAGGGGATAAGTGATACAATGACTGAAATGCCCTTATGTAATAATAATAATAATAATAATAATAATAATAATAATAATAATAATAATAATAATAATAATAATAATAAAAGAAAACAGCTAATAGGACAAAAGAAGAGTGAGGGTAAAATGATCATTAACCTATTTTTTCTTCTCCCTTCAATTCGCCGAATTGTAATTCATAGGGAAGGGGGTATGAATTACAATTCAGCATTTGGAGGGAATTGTAATTCGGTGGAATTGCAATTCCCTCCAACCAAACGGCGTAATTGTGGATTGTGTTGAATTACAATTCATATATTAATCAACTAATTATGCAGATATTAAAGGTACTAGGGGAATGTCAGTTGTCCCATCTTTAGAGGGGTTTACAATTCAGCGAGGGAATTAATCATTGTGTATGACAGTGAAAATCCCGTGTTACACCCAAAAAAAGGTACTAGGAAAAAAAATTGATATTTACATACATTAAACATGATGCACAATATATTATAATTAGCACTTTTTGGATTGAAAAAGCTATAATATTGACATCTTAATCTTTTACGGTGTATACAGGAATAAAGGAAAGAAAAAAACAACTAATATAAACAATATATAATTATGAAAAATTTGAGGGCCTATAGGTTATAGGACAGTTAAGGTATATTCTACGATTTACATATTCTTCCAATCTCCAGAGCATTAAAGACTTATTAAGTTTGGGGTTTAAAGTTATATAATTATGAAGAATTTCAATAGGTTTTCATCTAATAATTTTATATGCTTATTAAAGTTATACTATATACTTCGTTAGTGATATAAACAGAAAAAAAAAAAAAAGTTACAATTTTATTAAGCACAAGCTACATTTATAAATACAAGTAACAATTTAAATGAACCTAATAAGTGATAAGTTATTAATCAACTAATTATGCAGATATTATTCGATTTTTTTATTTGCATGAAAAGGAATGTCTAAATAAGACAGTGTTAATAATTTCAAATAATTAGATATGAACAGTTATAATAAATCAATAAATAATAATAAAATAATATAAAATTATCTAGATAATTACATAAAATACTCATACATGGAAACGAAATAAATTATAAATACAAGTAATACCAACAATTTGCACAAAAAAATCATTGAATTAGATTTAATAGCAATTACTTACCTACCAATCTTATCTTGATTGATTCTATTTTATTAGCAAAGTACTACGATCTATAAAATAAATTAGAATTAAATTATAGATAATTTTTCAAGGACATTTCTAAATATAACTTTTCTATCATCTAAATTTAAATATGGATAAGCATTTGAAAGAAATAATAATTATAAAAAATTAAATATATCAAGATATCAACTCTTATTTGTAATCTTTTGAATGTTCATTGATACATTTCTCGATTTACCCTTCAAAAAAAAGATATCGAATCAACCAATATATTTATTTCAGAAGTTGTGATTGACGTGTCGTCGATGAAGAGGGTTCTCATTAATTACTACACGTAATAGTTTAGTTGCTTCTTAGGGTTTCCCGACCTCCGATTTTCAAAAACCAATCAATATATTTATTTATTTTTTTATAGCTCATTATTAAAAAAAAAAAATACAGTTTTAGACAGGCCTCGAATGACATTGAGATTTGGGTCTGGACAAGTGCAATTACAGAGAGATTCAAAGTTTAACCAATAATTATTGCATGGATCGTGTTCACACAACTGTGTGGATGATTCATACAATAATTTGCCAAGTTTAACAGCCTCATCTTAGGAGGTTGCTAAAACATCAAAAAAAAAAAAAAAAAAATCTAATAATGAAATATCAAATGTGTATCAAATAAATCATTTGTAAAATATAATGGGGAAATATAATCTCATTTTTCTATAAAAAGAAAATCTTTTTATACTGAAAGATAAGCAAGAATTGAAAATACAAAATATATAGTATTTAATGCTGTTCTGTGCTTATCAGTGCCAGCAAGACTTGGGTGTGAAGTACTCCGTAGTCCGTAGATACTACGCTCTTCTACCCAAAAGCAGAAAACCAAGTATATAAGACGCTCTGCAATGGAGCGTGACTGATATAGAGAGAGAGAGAGAGAGAAATAGAGAGAGAGAGAGAAGTGGTCATATTTTTTCCCTTGAAACATGAACCATGTTTGCCACATACACTTCTGAGGCTGAAATCGGTTGAAGCTGAAATCATGTAAAGAGAAAAAAAGAAAACAATAAAAATCCTTTCTTTTTCATCATCACACCCCATATGAATACAACCACAACAGTCTTCTTCATCTTCTTCGACTGCCTCCATTATTTAATCTGTAAGTTTTTTTTATTTTTTTTTCATTTATTGCCCCCCCCTTTTTTTTTTTTCAAGATTTTAAGTATATCTGTTGGGTCTGCTGTAAAGATTTTGATGTGTCTGTATTAAATCTTTAAAATACAGTACTGGGTTTTGTGTTAGAACATATGATATTATGATATGATGTGAATTCCAGTTGAATGGTTTTCTTATATGTATTTATTTGATCAAAAGATTGCATTTTTTGGTGATTTCTTGAGTTTTGGATATTGAAGTGGCTATCTGGGGTTTGGTTTTTGGGGTAGAAAGAACAGGAATTGTGTCTATGGTTTTCCTTTGGGGTTTATGGAATGATTGGAATTGGATTTGAGTTTTGATTTTTTTTCGTTTGGAGGGTTTCAATTCAATCTTTCCATTCATAGATATTAGGCAAATCTCCAGGTTGAAAGAATGGCTTATAGGTTGTGGTTTTGTGTGAAGGTTAATGATGCAGAGGGTAAGGATATCAGCCCAGCAATTTCCTGTTCATAAGCTAGGGGATTCTGAGATGACATTGACCCCAAAGTTTAGGATAGCTTCAATGGATTCCTCTCTGCAAGATCCTTCACTAGACACTGAATTGGCTCTGATCGGGGAGCCTCTAATCCCGGGGCTTCCCGACGATGTTGCGCTCAATTGCCTGCTCCGAGCCCCGGTTGAGAGCCACGAAGCGTGCAGGGCGGTGTGTAAGCGCTGGTACTTGCTTTTCGGGAATAAAGAGAGGTTCTTTTCTCGGAGGAAGGAGCTCTCGTTTCACGATCCGTGGGTGTTTGTGTTTGCGTTTGACAAATGTACTAGGAAGATAGAGTGGAAGGTGTTCGATCTCGTTAACTTGTCTTGGCACGGGATCCCGGCGATGCCTTGCACGGTCAAGGTGTGCCCCCACGGGATGAGGTGCGTTGCGGTGCCCCACGAGGGCGTTATGTTCGTTTGTGGCGGGTCTGCTGCGGATGTCGACTGCCCGCTTAATTTGGTGTTGAAGTATGAAGTGCAGAGCAACCGTTGGACCGTGATGAAAAGTATGATTACCCCGAGGTCGTTTTTCGCGAGTGGGCTCATTGATGGGATGGTTTATGTTGCGGGAGGGAACAGCACGGATCTTTTTGAGCTCGGGTCTGCTGAGGTCTTGGACCCTAGCAATGGGACTTGGAGGCCTATTGCAAACATGAAAACGAACATGGCTTCGTACGATGCAGCGGTTCTCGATGGGAAGCTTCTCGTGACGGAAGGCTGGTTTTGGCCCTTCTATGTTGGGCCGAGGGGTCAAATATACGACCCCGGAAGTGATAGCTGGGAGAGTATGGCCTCGGGGCTCAGAGAAGGCTGGACGGGCTCGAGCGTCGTGATCGATGGGAGCTTGTTTGTTGTCCCGGAACACGAAAGGACAACGGTCAAGGTTTATGACAAAGAAACGGATTCGTGGAACAAAGTTAACGGCCCGCCTTTGCCACAGCAGATATGCAAGCCTTTCTGCGTCAATTCCTGCAGCAACAAGATCATCGTCGTTGGTCGAAACCTTCACGTCGCGGTCGGCATCGTCACGAGACAGCATCGAGGCGGCGATGAATCGCCCCGGAAAGACTTTTGTGTTGAATGGCAGGTGGTGGATGCTCCCCAATCTGTGTGTCATTTGATGCCATCAAGTGCACAGGTGCTGTTTGCTTAGATTTCTTCTATTCGGAACGGTGGAAGTGGGCCCGCTTGCACGGGCAGCTTTGTTGGTTCCTGGGTGATAGGTGGAAGTGGGCCCGCCTGCACGGGCAGCTTTGCTGGTTCCTGGGTGATAGATTGCGGGCAAGAATGGTGGGAGTGTGGAGCAATATAGAGAGTGTTGGAAGGATAGTTATGATAGTGTGTGCATCTTCACTAAGGTTTTATAATTTATCATCTTTATGTTCTCATGTATTTATAGTTATAATAAATAGTATTTTGGATTTTGGATTCTCCTTTACTTGAGTTTCTAATATATATATATAGATAGATAGATACTACTCCTATAATGTAATATTGGAATAGAAAATAGTGAAAAGATTTTCATTTTGAAATTTCAAATAAAAAATTATTAGTTGTGTTTACTTCAATTCACTTGTTTATCTTTTTCTAATTATTTAGTTTTCCATGTTTTATTCTTTATTAGATGCATTCAGAAAGAAGGTTCAATCCAACTAAAGATGTTTTTTGCTTACTCATATGTAACATGTAAATAAATGCATTACATGTCCTTTTTTGAAAAAAAAAAAAAAAAAAAAAAAAACACGAGTGCATTCTGATCATTTCAATTACATTAAACATATCTATTAATGCAAATGTTTACACTGATTGAATAACAATACACTATATACATTCATATCCCGATTTAGTCACAACAATTGAAGCATGTGCTCCATCTCAACTAAAAGCATGTGTTCCATCTCAACTAGAAGCCTAAGCTAATAGCTGGATTGCACATTAATGGTCTCAACTAAAAGCATGTATTCCATCTCAACTAGAAGCCTAAGCTAATAGCTGGATTGCACATTAATGGTTATATACTCAAAATACGCCCGTACCTTTGATTAGTCTGACTTTGATACCAAATTGAAAGCATGTGCTCCATCTCAAAAGCCTAAGCTAATAATTGAATTGCACATTAACGGTTATATGCTCAACAACAACCACCCCTCCCAACCCCCAAAATCATTTTTGTTAAGGCCAACGTTCAAGACTAGGTTTTTAGATTTAGCCTTCTTTAAGGATCCGTTGATAGATCATAATTGAAGTGACTCTCAGCTACGTATTAATAGGTTTTTTTAAAATGCGAAGCGAGCTTTTTAGGCGACCAGGCACCAACCAGACGCCTAGGCAACGCATTAACAACAATGCCCAAAATACTTCATGAGATTTGAGTTTAAAGCTAACAAGAATAGGAGCAACCTCAAGTGGCTAGAACATCATACATATTAACCTAAGAATCCCAACATCCCAAGATAGAAGTAGGGCATTTCTGAGGCTTTTGTTTCTCATCTCATCTCATCTCATCTCAAAACAAACACAAATATGATGATTGGTGTAACACTGAAACTTAATAATCAGAAATGTGATTTACACAGTTGTCAGCTCATTAAAACAAGTAACTGTACACCATTTGAGTGGGAATGTTAGCCCACCTCTCAGCATTGAAAAATCTCTTAAGAAAAGCCTAGTCTAGTCTAGTCTAGGCAAGGTAATTGTATATCTGAGGATTACTTTTGTCCCGCTCCAGGTACTCCCTGTCTATCAAGCTTTCGATCCTCTTCTTCAAGTCAGCCGGCTTTATTGGAAATTTTAGCTGTCGCCAAAATAAAACACAGTCAGTTCCAATCTCGTTAGGGGTGCATATATATGTATGTATGTATAGGTTGAGTATCTCTTCCGTCATCACAATTATGAACCGTATACGCAGTTAACCACTAGTATGATGAGAAAAGTGAAACAATTCCCTCACCTGCTGAAAGAGTTCAGCTATCAAGAGAGTGTGGCTTAGGACTTTTCTGGTTTTCATTATCCTAACAATTGCAGCATCAACCTGCAGGAGTAATAATTGGAAAATAATTGAACTGTAACTCTAAAATTTCAAAAAAAAAATTTATAGTAAATCATATGCTGCTGTTGATGAGAACAATTATCACTGATGATTGGAACTTTGCATGCATAAGAACACTTTTCTGATTGCTGATCAAATCAATCTTTATGACTCCCGATATTCATTTCCCATGGTTTTTTTTTTTTTTTTTTTTTTTAAAAATCGTGTTTGTGCGTGTGTTGGTTTGTTGGGGGATTTTTGCAGGTAGGGGGCATTTAAAATAGAATTTATAGTACGAAGAGGGGTATGTAAGAAAACCTGGTATTGCCGGTCCTGGAATACTCTTTCTGTGGTGCTCGTGTTCTCCTCAACTGTTTCTTTCATCTGGATGGCATTTACCTGCAAACACCAATTATACACCAGTTTTTATTTACATCTCGTCAACATTTGATGCTCTCTTTTTATCTTCTCGATTGAAAGTCAGAATCATGAATTGAAAAAAAAAAAAAAAATTAAACTTTTAAGAAAATACAATACGTAAAAAATCAAAGACAGCAGATGGGAGATTCAATAAATAAATAAACTTACCTTAATTCGATAAAGTGGAGCAGTGAACTGATCATTGAACACAAAGGTATCATCATCCTCCACATCTCTTCCTTTTGGTATCTGAAAAGTATAATTTAATTATTTCCTCCACCAGAGAAGCTAAAGAGGGAATAATACATTGCTTCATATCATCTTCAATATAATCCAAAATGAAAAACAAAATTCTCCATCCAGCAATAACCATATACCTTCTGGAGGACCCGCACTTTCCCACATGCAAGGGATTGTAAAGTCCTCCTTAGTTCTTTATCCTCAATACCAATTGCTTCTTTGATATCTTGAAAGCTGAACTTTTCCGCTTCATTGAAAAGCATCAGAACAACGGTCTGGAGCAAAGAACAGAAGAAAGTCCAAAATGTATATACGCAAGTACAAGGCAAAACAGATAAAAGGTAAAGAACTCTAAAATGGAAAAGGGGATTAACGTGAGACGTACCTGAAAGAAGGAAACAGCCAGCTCCTTCCTGCCTTTTGGAAATTCTGCTTTCAGTACACAATGACCCAATGAATTTTGCCACATCAAGCGCCTCCCACTGTATTTGCTTAGGTAAAACTCCTTGAAAATATCCTATCCCACAGAACAAAATATTGAGGTAGTGCATTTCTTGAACAGAATCTGCAGCTAGATAAGTACATGCCAAACCTGATACACATTGAGTTCGTGGGGAAGCCGAACATCCATGGGCGGATATGTAGGCCAGTACCTGCAGCAAAATTAACATACATTAACTTCACTTCCAGATAGATGCTAAAAAAGGGAACCAATAACCTGAAAGGAGTAAATGAAAATTCAGACCTTTTACCCAGATAATCAAATAACTAGAAACATTAATAGCTTACCCAGTGGTTAGTACATGCACACTCATCTCGATTCCCATAGGGAGTTTTGTCCTGGCTTGGGATGATTGCTTAAAGGATTCATTTATCTCTTTTGATAGTTCAATATCCTGGACAATTAGTTGGTATTAAATTCATAATCTAAGCTCATAAAGATTTCAGGAAACGCACACACACACACACACCAGTGAAGTTATTTCTAGTATCAGAAGATAAATTGCCTAATTCCAAACAGGTGCCATACAAATACTGCCAGCCTCTATAGAAGACAATACATGCCCCTCCAGCCACATGTTTATTATAGCATCCATAACTAATGGCAATGGACAGTGGTACACTGGTACTGGTTAAGTGAACAGAGGATCAGAATTTACAAGCTGCTATTACTCTTATAAGTTTGTACATTTGGGAAAACAAAAAACATGAGCAATGTGTTTTATACTTAGATATCTATATGTCAACAGCAGTCCACCAGCATAATCCTACACGTACCTTGAACATCCCTTCAAGTTTATTGGTAAACTGGCTACCACACTCCGTCTTTAACTGTGACAGTAATTTGAAAAATGTTGGTAATGTAACAAATTCAAAGAACAAATAACGAAAATCAATTATTGAAAACCTTACCTTAGAAATCATGGACTTCTCTGCATCAATTGAAGCACTTTTCCCCAATAATAACCTTTTTGCAAGATCTTTCTTGTAGAATGCTTCAAAAACATCTTTACCCTACAAGAGAAATAAATAACATATATCAGCTTAATGGTGATGGAACTACATCCCAACACGCACTAAAATACCATGAGGAATATGATAGATAAGCCTACTACGGCTCTTTGTACGAGTGTTTTCTCATACGGTGATACCTGTATAAAACGAAATAAAACCAAGGCTTTGTCAAGTGTACCCTCCAACTCCTCTTCAGATGTACCCTTATTCCCGGCACGAAGTTTTTCATCCAGAAACTTAGCAATCAGCTCCGCAGGGCGATTCTAGCAAAGAGGTCGATATATTGTGTGTAAGCATCAATTGGCAACATATTAAGTGGTAGTAATTGCATTCTATGCAATTTACTTCTCCAAAATAAAATTAAGTATTCTATTCAAGAAGGTTACTCAAGTTAGTGCTAAAACTAATTTCAATTAAACAATGATGATAATCAGATTTTTTCCCACTGACCCTTTTAGCAGTTTCTATCTATTCTCCACCATGTATGAAACAATGTCAACTTGTTAATTGTCATAAATTCTTTACTGATTGTTCAACACTTTCCTGTCAAAGTTTATTATTCTAAAAAAAATTTGTTGAAGAACATTTTAAATTCATCATATGTGGTCAAATCTTAATACCTCTGATTTATTTATTTATTTATTATAATTATTGGTAGTATTCTTAATAGTGGAGCCCAAAACAAGTTCAGCTCCGTGATTTTTCAGTCCTGCAGCCCCAAACTCAGAAAAATTACAAGCGCAAGCTTGGGGCTAGAAGGTCAACCAGATCATTGCATGTTAAGAGATAAGAGCTCTCTTTTCAAATACACAATTCCACAATATAGAAATCTCAGTTAGGTAGCAACAGAAATACTATGAGCAGCAAAACAATTCAATTACTGCATCCTATCAACAACTTGTATAAGTTTTTTTCAGTTTAAGCACTTAAGCCGGTCAGACCTGGGTAAACGAGAGTTGTGACAGATTGACAGAAAATGTAAAACAGCGTTTTCTTTGTCCTTAAACAATTTAGAATATCACAAAGTAGCACAGCACAATCAAATAGAACTTCAATGTTGAAAATTTATACCTGGCGGAGGTTTATGAGGTGCTCAAATGCATCCTTGATGGTATTACTAAATGCTTCATTTTTAGTGAAGCTTTCTTCCCATATTTTATCTAGGGATGCCTTAAATTCTAATAGGTTGGATACCATGTCTTTGTCTTTTTCCTCATCCATGACAATGCCCTGTC